CGCCCCGAACAAAAGAGAGAACTTGGCGCTGGCTCGGCGCAGCGCTGGCGTAGCTTTGGCACTCTGGCGGGGCCTTAGATTTAATAGAAGAAAATGAAAAAACTGCTAGAGTTAGCGAAGTTCAACGCAAATTTCACCTCGCCTTCTTAGCAAAGTTTTTTTTGAGCACCAAGTTTAATTGAGAGTATTTTCAGCATTTATATAGCTCATAAAAGTTAGATTTCAAATTCTTCTTATTCCATAAAGAATGTGTCTACAAAAATGTGTCCACGAAAAACACAGCTACTCAGTCACACCGTTGCTACTGTTTTTAGGAACTCCATTCAACCTACAAGCAATGTGCTGGTAGTTGTTTCGTGTAGGAATAAATCAAAAACGATTACGAAAGTAATGAGCGGTAGTACGAGCATGAATTGTGATTGCAGCTTTTGCTATGGAAAGACTAGAATGACGCGGAGTTGACGGGAAACTGCGTAGGGTTCAGACTGCACCAAGTGAGCACGGCATCTTCTGCATTCACTGCAATGACTGTACTCACTGATTTCACTTACTGCAATAGTCGAGAAGTCGCTGCAGTGCTGCAATCTTTGCACTGAAATACTTTATGTGATAAGTAATCTCGCGCAAAGAGTGCAAACGCTAGTGTGTCATTGCCAACGATCAATAGAAGGTAGAGATGTGATTAAACTAGAGTTCAAGATTATGTTGTGCTACACTAATTCGTCATGCTGATAAGTGTTAATCTTATTGTGTAGAATTTGAGGAGGCATGAAAGGATCCGCTTAGCCATTGCATTTACTATCGTTCTGTTATATATCTTAAGATCGGTCTGGCATACAGTCTCTAAACTTTATACTTTCCGCTACATCAGTAACCGCTAGTGTGCTGCATGAGGTCTGAAGCGAGACCTATACAAACCGAACACGCGGAAAAGCTCGCACAAACGGAAAAGGCAAGTGGAGTTTCTACTCACAGTGTATGTTTCTAGTTGAGGCACTGAGCCATAGCCGAGGATCAATACTGGTGCACCATCCTTAAAATTGAAGTGCTGCTTGTATCGATATCAATCATCTTGGATCAGAAAAACATTCGTTTCCACAGTGCACAACCCACTCTTTCCATTTTGATATCGCATTGGTGTGACAGAATTGAGAACGTATAAGCAATTAAATCGTTTGATTAGATTGGCTGAAGTGGAGAGCAGTACGGAACAGATCGTTGAGCGAGCTCGTCCTATAGCTGTCGACGGTGCAATTGACGAAATGCAAAAACGCATGGGGAACTTCTAGCGGCCATTCAAAGCACATTAAAATGGAAATAGAGCTTTTAATTACAAAATGTCAATAATTTACTGTAAAAGCACACCCACCCTTTTTCAAAACTCTTTTGGCGCAAAACCGTGTGGATCAAAAGTTTTGTAGCAGTGTTCCGACAAATGGTGAACGCAATATCTGCCCTGAAGGCTTCTGCTGGCAAGGGCGGGAACGGGAATACGTTTTCCAGTTGGCAGCATCGCATCTGTTTTTGAAGAAGAGTGCTGGATAGACGAATGCAGTATTTACTTTGCGAAGCAACGTTGCATGTGAATGTCCAGAGAGGTTGGCCCCTTGCTCAACGATATTGGCCTACGCCATTATTATGCTAGACAGTGTTAGAGAGCCGCTTTTGAGCGACATAATGAACCGCTCATTCAACGCATTCCGAAATTTTTTTTGCGAGGCTCAAAACTGAGACTGCGTACAATCATGTGATGATCATTTACGTAAATGCCAACTTCGGGCTATTATTGGTTGTCGCCATCTCGAAAATTCACGGAGGCACTTGTCATTGTATGGTTCAAGCTACCCTTATCCAAGCAAACATATACAAGTTCAGAGATATCGCTAAGACGGAGGAACGAACACTCGCTTTTCTGCCAAGTTTACATGAAATTGGAATCGCACGGTGGAGAAGAACCGGACGTTTACCAACGTTGATCTTGTTTCAGTGAAACAGACGGATACGAAAGATGCCGCTTGCGTACTATGCTTATACCTGTCGCTGTTTTCTTTGAAGACTGTCCTGCTTGCTTTCTGTATTTTTTTTGAAAAATGTTACTGTGTTCACATTAGGACGCAACTCCTAGCACCAGAAGTTGTTTGAAGAAACGTTACGGACCAATTAGATATTGCTTTAACACACGAAAAGGCCAAATTTGCAAAAGTTATAGTAACCTACCATATCTACTATAAAGCATCTATTGCATTTGTTGCTGCGGTTGGCGGTGGATGCTGTCAGTGCGGTCGTTGCTCCTGATATAACCCTCATATGATGTATCTGATCAATTACTAAACAATAAGTGAGTTTCGTGCCTACTGACTAAAAGACGTGCATTTTTCGCCGTAAAACAGGGATTTGTTATGTAAAACAGGAGGTGATCTCTATTATAACTATCGTCAAAAAGCGAGGAATGTGGCAACGCTGGTGTTTCTAAATTTTTAAACGTAATTTTAGTGTCTTTTCTTTGAGTCCATGTTTTTGAGACAGTGCTAGAATTACATATCTTGAATAGGAATTTTACATAAATTACTTTGACTCTTCTGGATCATTTTAGAGTTTCCCATTTAAGCACATTTCTAAAAGTGCTTTTGTCACTATTTAGAAAAGCCAAAATGAACTTACTCTTACGAGACCGGAATCTAAGAAAATTGATTGTTGATAAACAAATAACATTGCAGAATTTCTTCAGGGTAAACTTCAATGATGCCGAAAGCATGTGTGTCACTGTTGGAGCACATTTGGCTTCAATCCACAGTTACAGGGAGAATTCTTCTGTAGCTGGTGATTTTATCTTCTTTCAGTCCACTGTCGAGTACTCTGTTTTGATTTAGGTTTGGCAAAAACGGGCAATACCCTTGGCGGTTCTCCGCAGACAACTTAGATAGGTCTAGTACGATCTGATTATATAAACAGCAACTGGACAGATAATTGGATGTGGATGGACGGCAAGAGGTATCTGGCATGGAACAAGGGTCAGCCAGATGGGGAAACAACTCAACTCTGCGTGGGGGTACCATTTGCATATGGATAAGCGATTTAACGACAAGCAATGATCTGAAAAAAATTAAAACCGGTCGATTACCCTATGCAAAACGTCGTTAGTTGCGCTGTAACTCAAGCCTTAATCAATCAGTCATCAAAGTCTTTTTTAGACAACCAATAGAAAACTTTCCTTTCCTGAATCTTGCTATTTCATTGAGTGCGATACCTGAGCACTGTCAGACTTTGATGTAGATAACAGCCTATATGCAAACTAGGTATGCCATTCACAACATCGCTGGTACGTGCTCAACCAAAAATTTCTTCATAACTGCTCGACACTCGACCAATTACTTGCTGTATTGCATATTTTTTGTACAAGAGTAGGTGTCCCAGCTTCTTTTTTGCAATTTTGTACGTAGTTTACTTTGCTGTACAAACATTTATTTTCATATATCACCAAGCTAATCTGAAAAAAGCAGACAAATGATGCGAACAAGTTATCATGTGTGCATTGCATCATATCCCCATGACTGTAAGGCAACATTCGCAACTTCGCACAAAAACGTCCATAAACAATAATTAGTTTGGTACACTATTTTTGCTTTTACCAGAAGTTTCCCATAAACTGATAAATTCGGCCGTCAAAGCAGCGCTTGCGATTAATAAAAAAATTTCTATGCTTGTAACGCCTTACGAATTGCCTGCATTGGAAGAATTACGAGATTTAGGCCACATGGCCATTGATTCATGCGCATGCGTGCGCGTTACCGCAATGTTTTTTGACTGTTAGTCCTCCTTTCTACTGATGACATGCTGTACGCTATGCCCGGGCGAAAATGTTTTTGAGTTTTTAGGCTAACCTTTAAGTATTGGGGCATCTCGATTTTTGGAATTCTCAATGTTTCTTTTCCTCCGCCGATAACTCATTACTCTTCTGTGTTTATTGTCATAACCGAGTCATAACCGAAATTCTCAAATTCTTTATTGGGCTGACGTTTCGGCAAATCGCCTTCTTCAGAGCCTGGTGTGGGTAATGCGATCCGCAATCCATTCAACGACGTCTCTGCAGCAGAATGAGGAAGCTCCAAGACTCAGGATAGATCACTAGCTGAGCTGGTTGTAATTAATCAAAGACTCAGCTTTTGAGTTACGCCGAAAAGCTTCTTAAAGCGAGGGCGGATGACTAATGACTGTTTGGAGGGCCATTATTTATAGTGAAAAATCAGGTCAGAAGAGCTGACCTAGGTAAGATACGAGCTCAGCCGTGATCGGCAGGTATTCCTTAACGATTCATTTTTATTTCGCGTGGATATAAAAGTCTTCTGTACACTTCCGCGCTGGTGTTTAAAATTCGTGCGCCAACATTTTCCTTGAAACTCCGAAACTTGTACCCGCATGTTTCTGTATTCGGTGAGTGTTCAGAGGAGTAGATGTGCGCGATTGATCTTTGTCGTCTATGTGCTCTTTGATACGAACACAAGCAAACCGCCATTTCGCCAGTGTAATCATCGCCGCACTCCTCGTAGGGAATCAGATAAATGACCCCGGTGGCCATGCAATCCCCGCCTCTGTCTTAAGGGCAAATAACGCAATGTAACTTGGGCGAACTAGTAAGCTTTGAAATAACTCAGAATCAATTCTACAGTCGTAACAGAACTTTGTAGCCCTCCTCAGACACTGTCGCAATGCAGTGTTTACTTCATCGGAGATAAAAGTAATGCAGAAGGTTATTCTTTTGGCGGTGTTTACTGTCCACGCGATGCTGTTCTCTTTTAGTCCTAGGCGTCCTTGCTTAATTTACATACCCATTAGTGAAAACTATGCTGCGAGCGAACGCTAATAATTCCATCCTTTTCTGATGACCACTAACAAACCCAAGATGCTTTGCGAAACATGTTTTTGATTACGTATCTCTTTGTTTGACGCCGATGTGCTGATTGGTGGTGGATGAGAATGTATTTATCGCTCAATTTGCGGTACCATTTTGTCGCACACACACTCGGAGAGATACTGATTTGTACATTCAGAAACGGTAGCCATTCGCTGTTGGGCTTTTCCCTGTGAGCTGTATATATTTCAGTTGTATATACTGTGATTGCTTATTTGAGTAACTGGAAACCCTTATCAACACCTACCTGAGCGCGAAGATGATAAAGCAATTATCTATGTATCGGCAATAGAGCAAGGGGCGGCACTCCGAGTTGGTGCTTCGATTTTCGAAGACTGCCGAGGTTCCGACGAAGCTGGGCACCGAAACGTTAGGCTGTTCTGAACAAAAAATCGAAAAATCAAAGTCGATAACAAATATCGTGTAAACGATATTGGTTATCGGCTACAATCGTATACAAATAAATTGAACATGTTTTTGTGGGGGTTCGTGGCGAAGCCACGGTATAGGACGCAAAGAAATAGATAAGAATCAAGTTTAGGTTAAAAACTATCGATTTAGGCATCATATTAGTTCATTCCGAAAGTACCATTTCACTTTTTTCAAGGGCACCATTTTAGATAGAGCAAAGAAAACATTTTTGAAAGATCTTGGTAGCATACGACGCAGCATTTCATTTTCTTTCTAATGATTATAGAATCATTGCAGCACAATTATGAGCTCCTAAAAAATTACCGAAAGCCTTGACCCATGCTTTTTGAAACCTCAAGTTTTACAACTCTTTCGATTTCTATGTCATCTCTCCAAAGGAGCCCAAGTAAAGAGAACCAGAGAAATAGAGAAGCTAAACTCAACGAAAGGCTTGCTTTTCGATCTGCTAATCAAGTGTCCCCTTCCTGATGCTTTGATCCAAACAGTGATTGATTTGTCGAGACGCATTGAACAATTAACTCCCATTTATGTTTCCTCACTTTGATTCTATAATGATACAGATCTAGCCAAGAATTTATGCTGAAACAAAGCAACATGGCAGGGTAAAAGGATCAAGTCTCAAGAGTGATTAACTCGTAGAATCGATAGATTGTTTTACAATTACACTTGACCTGGTACGGAAGCTTTCATGCAAAAACTGTGGTCTTGGAAAGAACGACTTGCAGTGGAACGACGCCTAAATGCAGGGGAACAATTTGAAGGGAAAAAGGTTTTGACACAAGCAAGCATACACTTATTCGATTGCACGAGATTGAAAATCGACTAACTATTGAAAACAAATATTCGTACGAATACATCTGAAAATCAAAAAGTTCTGATGATTGACTGTTCGAATAAATTCGAAAATGATAAATTTCTAATAAGCGAACATCGACATATTCGGAATTTCGAACTTTTCGAATACTCGAAATTCAAATGAGTTTTAATCGAATATTATTCAAATACTCGAATATTTACTCGATTCGGTCCAAAGTATGCTAGGTATCCTCAGCGGTTTGAACAAGTCAAGGCAGAAACTTTATTCTTTGTATCAATCTTTATGCTACTTCCTCAACATCTCGTCAATCAGTGCGGCAGCCTTGCTCAGGGTTTAAGCCACTTCTGAATTCTCGTTTGCATTTTGCCAGTCGAAAGCTAACCTTACCTTTAAAGTTAGCTTTCGACTGGCAAAATGTAAACGGGGATTAACTTTAGTCTGTTAGATGATTTCTATTTTCTTTGCATATGATCACTCTATTTCAAATTTATGATATGGAAATAATTAGGGCTCGGCACGGGTGGCTAGTCAAAAATGCAAAAAACGAAGTCTTCCTTGACTTCGCCACAAAAGTGCGACATTCCCTTGACACGCTAACGAACAAATCAAACATGAAAACAAAAAGAAACGGAATACAAGACCGACAATAAATAAGCAATAAGAACTTGGAGCAGCTTTGCCGCTGCCATCTAGATAGTTTGGAAGGGCTATAACTAGGCGGGGAGGAGCTCTTTTAGGGAGGTACAAGAGCTGTTTTGTAGAATATTAGATGTAGATAAAGCTGTTTTGTAGAATATTAGATGTAGATAACTTTTATCTAAAAAATATGAAAAAATTATTTGAAGAATAGGCATTATATGACTTTGTTTGCACTAAGCAGGTGGCTTGAAAGCCACCTAACCCCGAAAAAAGTTTGCCATGCCCTTAGTTCGCATAATTTTTTTATAATTTTTCAGACCTAGTCCCAACTCACCATTGCCCATCTACACACCTATTTTGGTGCCATTTCATCTTCACTTCGCTATAAACAAACCCTTTGTTTATTTGCTGGCGGCATGCCGACAGCGTGCCGGCAGTAGATCGAAAGACAGCGTTATGCTCTTCCGCAAAAACGATATCCCCTTTGCTTTTTCCCCCGAAAACGATATCCAGCTTGCTTTGCAAGCCACCTGTGCCGAGCCCTGGAAATAATGGCGTGTAAAGGATTAGATGCATCTGAGCGCTAAAGACCTAACAATACTATGGAAAAATTTCCAAACCTGTTTGGTCTCGTATATTTTTAGGCATGCTGGGATGTGATTACCTGTAATAAATTGTCACTTTCAAATAAAATGCTTTTCTGTTATACAACATTACCTTTACGATATGTTCGTATACCATGTTTAATCTAGACGTTTTCATGATACTACGTTACTATTACTATTGTTTTAGAGAAGACATGATGTGTAAGGCACCTGTTTGCATGGCGTATTGTCAAGCGGATTTGTTGAACAGCACACCAAGACATCATTGCAATTACAGAAATTTAGCAAAATCATTAGCTGGAGCAGAAAGACAGTTTACATCAAGAACCTTTTCTATTGAAGTATTGCACCTATAACGTTTGGATTTGTCTCTCTCGTCACGTCACGTGACCCCTACGGCAAGATTCCCGAAGAAGAAAGCAAAGAAGAGAAAAAGTTGTAGAAAAAACACAGAAAGACAGAGACACCCATGGATATAAACACCCAACACCCATGGATATAAAAAAACAGGCAAAATCAGCTATTGTTGGTTTTCGTAGCTTCTCTCCATTGTCACTATTCCCTTTCCAACGGTCTGAGGGATAGTCAGGGTGAAGTTTTTCGTTCTTGTGTTTTTCATTAATTTCATCATCATCGTTTGCAGAGAAGGAGGGGGAGTAGGAGATGGTAGGTGGAGGCAAAGCCAAGGGCGAGGGAGAGAGTTGGAAAGAGAAAACGAGAGAAAACGAAAAAGAGACCGTTGGGCTATGCTTTGACATGATGTTGGCCTCGTTTGGCGCTTGCCCGCAGAAGAGGAAAAGTCTTAGCATTTTACCAATCATTTTAGGTTAAGGCCGCACTCCAAATACAAAAAAAAAACAAGTATGACTAGTGAGACCAGGAAGGCCGACAGAGATCAATTTATGGAGTCCTCGTTCGAAAAATGCTTGCCTCCTGCACTTGTCTGCTAATTTATCAAAAAACGAGCTGGCAAACGGGCTCCTCCCGGTCCTGTCAATAATGTATTTTCGAATCAGCATGTTCACTTACCTCGTCCGCACTCTGCACACTCTGCACACCCTGCACACCCTGCACAACCTGCACATCCTGCACAATATACTTGGGTCCGAATCGAATGAGAATTCGATCATTCGAATAAAACATTCGAATATATTCGTATTCGAAATTCTATATTCGGAGTTCTTCCATTTTCGAATAATATTCGAAACTCGAATAATTGAGAAAACGGGGTTTCGAATTAAATTCGAAACTCGAATAATCAAAAAGCAGGATTTCGAATACAATTCGAAAACTCGAATAATCAAAAAACGAGGTTTCGAATATTAGTCGAAAACTCGAATAATCAAAAAACGAGGTTTCGAATAGATTTTATTCGAATGTTTTATTCGAATGTTTATTCGAATTCGTATTCGAATGTACTCCGTATTCAGATTATTTGACTTTGTTGCAGAGCCAACTGCTGAGTATCAAGTTCACTTCGTCCGCGTTTTTTTTCGCAAAACTCGGTAATGCATCTTTTGCAACCGGTATACCTTTGAACTGTATGGAGAGTCGCATTGTGCTGATAATGGATAAAAATTTACTTTATTGGTTTTATCGATTTTTGGAAAATCTTGAGCTACGAGGTTGGGAACTGGTACAAGGGGGTAAATGAGGGCGCTGATTATGGATAAAAATTTACTTTATCGGTTTTATCGATTTTTGGAAAATCTTGAGCTACGAGGTTGGGAGTTGGTACAAAGGGGTGAGTGAGGGTGCTGATTAAAACCGAAATCTATTCTATTAATTTCAGCAATTTTTGGAAAGTTTTGAGTTAGGAGTTGGTATAGGGATACTAGGGGGCTGATTATGATTGGATCGGCTTTAGCCAGATATGTCGGCAAGTTTGAGATGTGATTGCTTTAGTTATTCGATAAATCATTCGAATATTTATTCGAAATTTAACTTCCAATGTTCGAATATATTCGATATTCATTCATTCGATATTTTTGGTTTTCCAAATTTATTCGAAATTCATTCATTCGATATTTTTGATCTTCCGAATTAATTCGATATTCGTTTATTCGAAATGTATTATTTTCGAATTTATTCGATACTAGCTGGCTTACCCGGCTCCGCCGTATCCGGACCAAACTTGGCACACATACACTTCGGGCCTCGGCGGGTGTCACAGTCCACTTTTCGTTATCGATCGATGTCGATTTTACCGATTTTTATCGATTTTTTGCAGAGTTCACCTACAGGGCTAGGAGTTGGCACAGGGGGGGAAGTGAGCATGGGGATTCCGAATACAAAATTAGTTTTTCAGAATTATCGATTACTTTTATTGATTTTATCGATTTTTTGTAAATTTTGACATGCGAGGCTGGGATTTTGCACAGGGGGGTAATCGAGCATGCTGATTACGAACACAATTTTAGTTTTCAGGATCGCCCATTACTTTTATCGATTGCATCGATTTTTTTGTAAAGTTTGACCTGCGGGGCTGGGAGTTTGCACAGGGGGTAATCGAGCATGCAGATTACGAATACAATATTAGTTTTCAAGATCGTCCATTACTTTTATCGATTTTATCGATTTTTTGAAAATTTGAGCTAGGGGGCTGGAGTTTGGCACAGGGGTTTAATCGAGCATGCTGACCACCCCCCTTGGGGATGATCAGCATGCTCGATTACCCCCCTGTGCCAACTCCCAGCCCCCTAGCTCAAACTTTGCAAAAAAATCGATAAAATCGATAAAAGTAATCGATAATCCCGAAAACCAATATTGTATTCGGAATCCCCATGCTCGATTATCCCCCTGTGCGAACTCCCAGCCCCGTAGCTCAAACTTTGCAAAAAAATCGATAAAATCGATAAAAGTAATCGATAATCCTGAAAACCAATATTGTATTCGGAATCCCC